CACACACACACACACACACACACACACACACACACACACACACACACACACACACACACACACACACACACACACACACACACACACACACACACACACACACACACACACACACACACACACACACACACACATGGTCAGTCAGATGTGCAACAAGTTTACGATGTAACATCTCTCCCATGAGGTCATCTACTGACCAGCTCTCTGTGATGTCACATATACTATACTCTTTCTCTACAGTCTTAGTATAATTTCACGCCATCAACAGCCAAGTTTCACATTAACTAATTTTCCTTCATAACTTGAGACACGAAAAGAAACGCATCCAGTTAAGGTACAGACTCTTGGTATGGATCTGAGCCATTGTTTTCCCGTCTCTTGTGTGTATGGTGCGTCGTAAGCCTGCTTGGTCAACATAGGTTAAATTTTCAGTAATAGTAAACAAAAAAATATATTAACGTTTGTGTATTTGTGATTGAAGGCTTTAATATGTGCACAACATGTATCACATGCAACGCCATATGTATATGCTAGCTATGTATGTATGTGCTGTATGTATGTATGTGTATGTATGTATGTACTGTATGTATATGTACTATATGTATGTATGTGTACTGTATGTATGTATGTACTGTATGTATAATATGTGCTGTATGTAATATGTACATGTATATACTGTATGTATGTATGTATGTGCTGTATTAACACATGTATGTATGTAATATCCTGTATGTATGTGTGTATGTCTGTCTGTGCCTAATCATGTCTACCTGTCTATGATGTCCACTGTATGTATGTCATGTCTAATGTAATGTTTGCTGTATGTGTGTGTCTGTCTATGGCTGTTGTCAATGTTTTGTCTATGCCTTATCATGTCTACTGTATGTATGTGTGTATGTCTGTCTATGCCTTATCATGTCTGTATGTATGTCTGTCTATGCTAATCGTGCCTCTTATGTCTGCACAACATGTATGTGTGTATGTCTGTCCTTGTATCATGTCTACTGTGTGTGTGTATGTCTGTCTATGCTAATCATGTCTACTGTATGTATGTGTGTATGTCTGTCTATGACTCATGTGTGTATGTCTGTCTATGCCCCTACTGTATGTATGTGTGTATGTCTGTCTATGCGCATATCATGTCTACTGTATGTATGTGTGTATGTCTGTCTATGCCCCATGCCTTATCATGTCCACTGTATGTATGTGTGTTTTGTCTATGCACATGTCTCACCTGTACTAATCATGTCCACTGTATGTATGTGTGTACCTATGCACATGTCTACTGTATGTATGTGTGTATGTCTGTCTATACCACCCTGTCTATGCCTAATCATGTCTACTGTATGTATGTGTGTATGTCTGTCTATGCCTGTATGTGTGTGTATGTCTGTCTATGCCACTGTATGTGTGTGTGTGTGTCTGTCTATGCCTTATCATGTCTACCTCTCATCTCACCCCCCCCACCTCTTACCACCTCCCTCACCCCACCCCTCCCACCTCACCCCCACCCCACCCACCTCACCCCACCTCTCATCACCCCACCCCCTCCCCTCCCCACCCCTCCCTTCCACCCCACCCTCCCCACCTCACCCCCACCCCCCTCCCACCTCTTACCTCCCACCCCTCACCCCACCACCCTACACCTCCCACCCCCACCACCTCCCCACCTCACCCCTTACCCCCCCCACCTCACCCTCACCCCCCACCTCACCCTCACCCCCCCACCTCCCCACCCCACCCTTCCCACCTCCCCCCCACCTCCCACCTCACCCTCACCCCCACCCCCCCACCCACTCACCCCACCCCACCTCCACCCCCCCACCCCCTCACCCCACCCCCACCTCACCCCACCCCCTCCCCACCCCTCCCACCCCTAACCTCCCAACTCACCCCCACCCCCTCCCCTCACCCCCACCCCTCCCACCTCACCCCTCACCCCCCTCCCACCTCCCCCCCCCCTCCCCCTCCCCCCACCCCCACCTCACCCTCCCCACCTCCCTCCCCACCCCCCTCCCCCCACCTCACCCCCCACCTCCCCTCACCCCCTCCCCCCTCCCCTCACCCCCACACCCCTCCCACCACCCCCACCCTCCACCTCACCCCACCCACCTCTCACCCCCGACCTCACCCCTTCCCCCACCCCACCCCCCCCCACCTCCCCTCACCTCCACCTCACCCCCACCCCTCCCACCTCACCCCCCACCCCCTCCCACCTCACCCCCCCCACCCCCCTCACCTCACCCCCTCCCTCCCCACCCCCCACCTCACCCCCCTCACCTCACCCCCTCCCACCTCACCCCCTCCCCTCCCCCACCTACCCCCCCTCCCTGTGGCCCACCAATCAGGCTCAAGCCTGCAGTCAGTTTCATATTATACTAGTTAAGAGTTTAACTAATTGGAGGAACTTAACCAATCAGATTTCAGTATTTTTTTGGCTGCTGTATTTCAAGATGTTTACAGTGTCTCCAAAAATGTATAAAAACACCACTACAATGTGTACAACAGTGTGTGTATATTTTTTGAAACACCCTGTATATAATAAGTTTCAATTGTTGGTAAATTCGCTGCTTCGACCCCCAATTAAGTTTTAATCTTGACTCAATTTCGTCTGATTTAAGTAATTGATCTGAACTAAAACACTAACTGACATAGAACTAATCCTTAATTGTAGTATAAGTGAAGGTCTGGTTATAAGGTGTTTAGTATTAGGCATAGTATCTGTATTACAAACCTGTGTTCCCTCTCGCTTCGTCCCTCTCATCTCTCTTCATCCCTCTCATCTGTCTTTATCCCTCTCATCTCTCTCTTCATCCCTCTCATCTGTCTTCATCCCTCTCATCTGTCTTTATCCCTCTCATCTCTCTCTTCATCCCTCTCATCTGTCTTTATCCCTCTCATCTCTCTCTTCATCCCTCTCATCTGTCTTCATCCCTCTCATCTGTCTTTATCCCTCTTATCTCTCTCTTCACCCCTCTCATCTGTCTTTATCCCTCTCATCTCTCTCTTCATCCCTCTCATCTGTCTTCATCCCTCTCATCTGTCTTTATCCCTCTCATCTCTCTTCATCCCTCTCATCTCTCTCTTCATCCCTCTCATCTGTCTTCATCCCTCTCATCTGTCTTTATCCCTCTCATCTCTCTCTTCATCCCTCTCATCTGTCTTCATCTCCCTCATCTGTCTTTATCCCTCTCATCTCTCTCTTCATCCCTCTCATGTCTCCCTTCAACCCCTCACTTCTTCCTCACCTGTTAAAAGTCTGTTCTGTTAGGTTAAGATAAGGTAGATTTGGTAGGTAAGGTTAGGGTAGGTTAAGGTAGGTTAGGTTAGGGTGGGGTAGGGTAGGTTAAGGTAGGTAAGGGTAGGGTGGGGTAGGGTAGGTTAAGGTAGGTTAGGTTAGGGTAGGTTAGGTTAGGTTAGGGTGGGGTAGGGTAGGTTAAGGTAGGTTAGGGTGGGGTGGGTAGGGGTAGGTAGGGTAGGGTTTAGGTGGGGTGGGGGTGGGGTAGTGGGGTAGGGGTAGGGTTAGGTTAGGTAGAGTGGGTAGGGGTGGGGTGGGGTAGGGTAGATTAGGTGGGGTGTAGGGTTAGGTAGGTAAGGGAGAGGTAAGGGGTAGGGTGGGGTAGGGGTGGGATTAAGGTAGGTGGTAGGGTTAGGTTAGGGTGTGGGGGTGGGTTAAGGTAGGGGTAGGGTGTGGGGTAGGGTGGGGCAAGGTAGGTAAGGTTAGATTGGGAGTAGGGTAATTGGGGTAGGGTAAGTTAAGGTAGGTAAGGGTAGGGTTAGGTTAAGGTAGGTAAGGTTAGGGTGGGGTAGGGTAGGTTAAGGTAGGTTAGGGTAGGGTGGGGTAGGGTAGGTTAAGGTAGGTTAGGGTAGGTAAGGTAAGGTAAGGTCCTCCTTCTATACCAACCAGGTAGAGTTTACAAGACCACGTCACATAACACTCACAAACTTTCCTCTACACAAAAAACTTCAGACTCATGACCAACGTTCTGCAGCCAGCACCAGCACGATAACCACTCCGCCACCGCACCCTTTATATGTTCATGACGTTATATGTATAGTTAAATTATAGTTGAAGTGTGTGTGTGTGTGTGTGTGTGTTGTAGCTTGAATGAGTCCGAGAGAGAGAGAGAGAGAGAGAGAGAGTTCACTTAAACACCTTCGTATATCTCCAAAGGGAAGGGATGATGACCATGTGAATCTCTGATCCTCCAGGACCATATATACAGTGGATGCGGCTTATGGATGTTAGTGGAGACGTATTGTGGACGTTAGACATGGAGTGTGGACGTTAGACACGGGTTGGGGAGGCGTCATTACCTGCTCCCACAACACGAGTGACGTAAGAAGATAAAAAATTTATTTCACATTTGTTTCCCTAACGCTAACTAGATTTTTGTTACAGATAAATAAATACTATCTGATAGGCTGAGGCGGACGAGTGTACTGTATTATACAATGTTTGTCTCCTGATCAAGAAGTGGGGGCCGCTGTTCACATCATCTAGCTGTGAACGGGAACTTAACATTACATAGGTGGACGCTGTAAACACGTTTGCGCTTCCCCTTGCACAGCATGTAAGGGGTGCCAAATGAACTAGCTCCCTCGCGGGGCAAATCTGAACTCTGAACTGAATAAGGCAGAATAAGGTTGAGCTGGAAGACGCTGCCTAGCTTCATGATTTCCAAACCTTGAACTTCTTACTGGAATATTGAAGTCATATTTCAAACGCGGAAGATACAACAGGCTGAAGAAGACCCTCGCCTCAGAAGACAACGAGGAACATGACGATTTCTAAGTGATGATGCTCATGTACACACCTGTATCGGGGAGGTCACGTTTCATTCATCTTAAAATATACCTGTTATTTGTGTAAGTCGTTCGATAACTCGCTGTTTGGTAGCGCCTTTCAGGCTCGACGTTGTCTACAATGGAAATACTGAGTTGGTGCAACTGGGGGATGATTTACAGAGTGAAGTATAAGACTAGGCGTGTACACTTACCCTGTGTCTCTTGTGTGAGTGTCTGTGGTCGGAGGTGTGGCGGTGCTCGTACGGAGTGGGGTGCCGCAGCTCCGACCCTGCCTGTTGTGGTGCCTGCGGCTGTTGGTCTTGTTGCTGCTGTTGTCGATGCTGCAGCTGGCGCTGCTGGGAGTTCTGCCCCAGGAGCCGCGCAGAGTAATAATCCACCAACTCCTGCTCTTCGTCCGAGGTGAAGCCTCCCCCGGGGAAGAGCTTGGATGGAGAGGAGGCTGTCCGCTGATGGACGGGGCCGATGGGTAGTGGGGAGAGCGATCCCTCCCCGTCCATCTCCCAGACGGGGCCCACGGGAGACGTGGGCCCCGTCTCCGTCTCCTCACTCTCCTTACGATGTACCGGGTTATCCGGGGAGCTGGCGTAGTTGATCCTGATGGCGGAGTCGTCGCGTGAGCGTGCGGTGGGGATGATGAGAGGGGGCCGCTCCCCCTCCTCCACCATGACGGATGGGGAGGCTGGTGACGGGGGGCGAGGCGAACAGCTCTTGGCGTCACGCACCCGCAGGTAATTACCCTCGGCCAGGTACGTCGCACTTGACTTTGATTTGTTCATCTCCGCCTCCAGCATCAAGCCATAAGGTCCTCTCAGAGGTCTCTTGAAGTAACGCCTTGGACCGTGAGGGCTGCGAGGGGCGCTGCGCTCCCCAGAGTCACTATCCTGAAGGTAGGGTATGGGGGAGGCATTCCTGGCAGGGGTGCGACAAGGAGGGTAGTCGGAGCCGTCACTCTCGTGGTCACCCAACAGCACCTGTGGCGTGCACACCCTGAGGGGCCCGATGGACATCTGGTCCCCTCGCTCATCACGACCCTCAGAGTCTGTGGACGCCTGAGACACGACGCCCTTGTTAGATCCTCGCCCCGTATCCTCCTGCGAGGCGACGTTACCCAGGTGAGGTTCACTGAGGTATAGAAGAGCGTCGGTGCTGCCCCGCCTCTCACAGCTGGGATCACTGTGATGTTTCTTCTTCCGTTCTGCTCGGTCCATCGGGCGGGTCTCCGTGATAAGGAGGAGCTGGCGTGTGTCGGGTGGCTGGTTGGTCTCGCTCATGTAACTGCCGGGGAGGGAGAAGGAGCTACGCTGCTGCTCGCCACTGACCCTGTCTCCGTAGGCCCCTGAGGCGACCAGGCTCCTCAGGCCGTTGCTGTCCACTGAGGAGTACCCGATGGAGTCAACGTGGGAGCCTTTTCTTGGGGGAGGGAAGGTGAGTGAGCGCTCATTATCCTCATCTAACTTCCGACGACGGCGTGACCCTGTTCTGACTGGGACATCCTCTCGTGGAACTGAGCCGGGTATAATACCCTCGTCGGAGCGGTCCTGGCCGACTCCCACACTGTCCTGGGACGACGAGTCGGAGGAGTCTCGTGGTTCATGACTCTTGCTCTCCTCCTCAAAGATGCCTTCATCGCTAATTTGCGTGAGGTACATACGGGAGGCCTCTCGCTCGCCACTGTCACCGTCGGAGTCTTCCCGCGGGAGGCGGGGCCGGGACCTGACCACCCGGCACTCGGAGGTGGCGCCTTCCCCGCCCAAGGTGTTGTGCTCACCACTCTCCCGCGCCCCGGACTTAATAACCAAACACTGCGACAGTCGTGGCTCCTTTTGCAAGACCTGACACTCCACTTGTCGGTGGTCAGTACACTGACTGACGCCACTCTCTGCACCTCCTGTCTTAACTTTGGTACTTACTAACTCACTACTTAATCTAGTATCGGTACTAGAGCGTGGACTAGTACAGCTAGGTAAAGGCACTTCATCTGGGACGCAGTCCAATGGCACAACTGCTGGTTCGGGTGTCTGCGCTGGAGGAACCAGTCCCCCAGAGCTGGGCTTCTCCCCTCCCGGGGGAGTGTCACCAACCTCACCCTTACTTAGGTCCTTTATAACCTCTGTTATCAACGGTGTAGTCTCTCTACTGACGGTACTTACCCTAGAGTCCTCAGGACCTGTTGTTCCTGGTGCAGCTTCTGTAGCAATAAAGTCGCCAGCAGCACCCATCTCCGGCCCGGGGGCGTCACCCCTCGGTGTCTCTGCCCCAGATTTTGAGTCTTTGCCCTCGTGAGCATCACTTTGTCTGTGGTGTCGGCTAGGTGGTGCTACCTCCCACATCTGACTCCCTCTTACACTGTTCTGTCCCTCGTCCTCATCACCAAGGGTAAACACTACTGACTCTAATACTCCACAAGAACGTCTCTGTGCCTCACTCTCTGCATTTCCTTTATCTGTATTGGATTGAGAATTAATGGGTACCTCGCCGCGCGCTGAGTGTTGTACACACACAAGTGATCTGGACTGGTCTAGTGTCACGTCTCTATCTCCTTCAGGATCAACACTAAAGTTCTTGACTTCGTCAGAAAAACTAACTCTGTTCGATTTATTGCCCTCTTTGTCTTTTCTCTCCCCCTTTCTCTCAACATTTTCTTTACTTTTCTTTCTCAGTTCTGAATGTTCTTTATCTTCCCTATTCTTTTCACTATTTAATTCGTCCATGATCTCTGTTTTCGAATCATTTGTTTTAACTTGTTTATCTGCTGATATTCCCTGGCCACCTGCGGCTCTTGTGTCTTTGGCAATGTGTTCTTTACCTTTCGCGTCCTCCGTCCCCTCCTTCGGACCTCCCGCACCCCTGGCTCCGCCTCCTGAGGTTGCCGAGGCATCGATAGTATCCACCTTTTTTCCGAGGAGATTATCTCGGAGGCCAGCCAGGCCACCCTCGCCGCCAAGTCCTGCCACCGACAACTCACTCTCGGACTTGGATTTGTTCTCCAACTTGTCGGGCTGCGACAACCCCGACTTGGCACCAACGTTAGTCATGTCGGAGATGGAGGCTGCGGTAGTGAGAGGGGGGTGATGATGATGGTGGTGGTTGGGCCCGCCTGCGGCACCACCCCCTTCTTTGGTGGCCACTGCAGGCCTGCGCTTGGGGAGGGTGTTGGAACCAGAGTAGTCTTTACAGCGCGGGTACAGCAGGATGGCGGTGGGGGACTTACCACTCCGCTGGAAGAAGGAGCTGTCAGACGCCACGTCCACTTGAGACACGGACGCCGACCTAAAGGGAATGAATCGCGGGGGGATGACAAGGCGGGAGTCAGGACGTGGTCGTGGGGGAGGCTTTACGACGCCCTCCTGAAACACGTCCTCCTCCTCCCGTCGCCCATCTGGGGGAGGAGCCTCCCTTGGGTCTCGGGAGACGGGGATTGGGGACAGTCTAAAGACCTCGGGGTCCTTGGACGAGGGGAGCTGCGGTGGAAGGCTGGGGCTCTTGCCCAGGGATGGGTGACGGGTGAGGACGGAGCGGGTGTCATTGCTGCCCTTCTTGGTTTTGCCCCGCGGGGGAACGCTGTCACCGTCATCTGAGGCGGCTGACGCGGTGGTATCGGGCGGGGGAGCCGAGTCAGCCCGAACCTTCTTATCGGGTGATGGCGTCTTAAGCCTTTCGGTACATTTCCGCAGCTCTTCTAGATGATTCTGCCGAGATCTGGGAGGGCGTGCTGGAGGGGGCCCACGCCCCCCTTCCTTCCTGCCGCCCCCCAGTCCGCCGGTAGGGAGGCCCAGTCGAAACCGGGCAAACTGCTGAGAGGAAAGTTGGAGGTGAGGCTCCAGCTGGTTGTCCTGGGACCTTTGTGTTCCTCCTGCCGCGGGGCTGAGGTCGGGTGACGTCACCGGCCGGGGTACCTCATCTGAGGGGCCGGGAGCGCCCCCTGGGGCCCCCGCGCCCACCTCCGCCTGCTGTCTCTGTTTGCGATAATCTAAGCCAGCATCAGACGGGAGGAGTGCGGCCCAGCGGCGGTACAAATGATCAGGTATTTCTGGTCTGGGCCTGACGGTCCTGCGGGCGGGTGTGGTGGTGGGGGAGCCCTGCTGGCCGGTCACTGGCGCCGGGGGGGCCACACGGTCCCCATGACCGCTGCCCCCCGAGGCTACACTGCCGCCTTCTCCGCCGGGAAACACTGTACACTGCACTGCACTGCCGTGGGCATGACTGGGCGTGGCGGGCGGCGGAGCACTGCACTGGTCACTGGCGAGGTGCGCACTGGCAGGCTCCTCGGGGATGGTGGGGCGCGCCGGGCCCGGGTAGCTAAACATAGTGGCATGGCGGGGCAGCAGGTGCCGGGGGGAGCGCCCCGCCACACAACACGTATATTTAGCGACGGGGGGAGGCAGGCCGCCTGCCCTCACCTCCTCCAGCAGAGCAAAGACTCCTGCACCAGCACCCAGCGGGCCACCCACGCCTTCCCCGTCCTCACCAGCAGTCCTGGCCAGGCTCAGGGTGCCCACGCCCCGCCGCCGACATATGGATGAGCGTTCGCCTTGCCCAGTCGCCCTCTTCCCCTGACCTTTGCTGGTCTGGGTCACCAGGATGGTGGCCTCGCTTCTGAACGTGGCCACGTCCACGGGAGGGTTGAGGGGCGGCGCAGGGCGCGGACCGCCCCGCAGGGAGGGCGATCCACCCGCCTCGGGTGGGTGGGGGGATAATTTTAGCGGGTCAGTTTGAGAGTCAGTGTCGGGATGCACGCCCGCGCCATCTGTTGGCGCCGTTCGCCACCTGCCACCCACACCGCTCTTCTTATCGTTGTTATTGTCACCGCCTCTATCATCAGCGTCCTCGGTGGTCGTGGTGTAGTCCACCTGTGTGCTGGGCGCCACCCACGGCCGTGGTGACGAGTTGAAGCTCCGTCTGAGAGCGTGTGGGCGTGGCGAGGCGGGGGGCAGCAAGGACGAGGCCGTGGGCACTGTAAGTGGGGCCCACCTGTTGTTGAGGAGTGAGTGAGCCTCCTTCAGATGGAGGGGTGAGGACCCCAGGCTGCGCGGGGTGTGATCGCTGGGGGTGAGGTGTGTGCCGGGCGCCGCCGGCCCATTGTTAACAAGTGGTTGTAGACTGTCGGGGCCACTGCCATCCCTTGCCACCACCTTGACTCCCTCCACCCTCGTAGAGCCTCTTCCCGGAGCCCCCAAGTCACCCTCGGAGCATCGCCGAGGGGGCAATGGCGCCCCGGACCCGTTGTGGGGTGCCAGGCGAACACCATAACGTACTGACCCCACGCGGAACCCGGGCAGGGTCGCCCCCTTGTTGCGTGGGAGAGTTGTGGTCCCTCCTGCCCGGCCTTCCATTACCTCCCTCCTCCTCCACCGTCCTCCAGTGGCCTCCTCCTCCTGATGGTCCCCCTTCGTCAATGGTCTAGGGGCGCAGCAGAAGTGGAGGAGGCAGTAAGGCGCGTGTTGCCGGCAGGGTGACGCCGCCCCACTCCACCGGCCATACTCCTTGTGGCGGCAAGACTCAAGTGCTGGGCCCTCTCACTCCTCACATGACCGCGCTGCTTCGCTCTCACACTCCCTCGCACAGTGTCCTCTGGCCTCTCGCTCCTTCAGGCGGCGTGCCCTGGTCATGGCCTAGTTCTATCACACAGAGGTTACATGGCGCCACTGGTAAAGGGCTTGACCTATGCCCTGGGAGGGTGGGGAGACAGGAGTGAAGGTGGTGGGTCCACTACCATTACATGTTGCACTATTCTCTACACCTGTGATCTTGCTGACACCTGCTAATATCTGTTTATCACCACCAAGAGTTAAAATAATGCCCAGAAACTGTTGGTTGGTCCCTCGTAAGGCTGTCTTCACCTTATGATCACTATTTACCTTCTATCTCTCGTACCTGAACATTACCCTTTACCATTTGTTAATTCAACAGTTAATCGTACACCAACTCTAAACGTCTTTGATGCACTTCCACAAACTATACCACATTCTTGGGACGATGGCCGACCAGTGGGTAAACAAATGTTGTTGTTCACGCCATTGGCACTGTTATTATGTATCACAAGAATTACTACAAGTGCCAAAATATTGATGGCGTTGGCACTGAGGCACTAAACATATTTTATTTTGATTATGTCATGGGAGTCAGTTTTGTACAACGAGGTCCCTCAGGGGTCATCAGTACGGCCAGGTAAAGTCATTATACCCCAGACAAAAATCTCGGGTGTCGGGACTTGCAACACCACGGAGCCACCGAGTTCACCAGCAGGCACAGCAGATAACCTGGTGTAGGAGAGGGAAGTTTTGCTGGTATCTTAGAATTGGCCTTCCTAATCTGTTACATTGTATAGAACAAGAGATCTTACAGTTGAGGCAGATCAGATGCAACAGAGGAACTTTCCAAAGTGTCACAATAGATGTAACAAGAAGCCTCGTCAGTTTGTCACAGCAGGTGTGTGTGTGTGTGAGAGGCGGGAGGAGCAGAGTGTCAGGGCTTGGGCAGTTGTTGTCAGGACTCATCACTGTATCATGGATCACTATTTGGCAGTTGACGCCACACTGACCACAACACTACTTTCCTGTTTTCATATTTCTATTTTTTTCCTTTAAAGTTTTACCTTTCTTTATGGCGCAAAATTCGGAGCACTTGTGTGTGGGTTTTTCCCCAAATTTCTTTAAAGTGCACCTGTAAATACACAACACACGGCAGGCGACTAACACATTCACAAACACTTCACTCGTAAACGTCACTCACGCGCTTAACCTAACCGTCCATATAATAACAAAATCGAAACTTTAATCCTAAGACTGGATCTCACTTGGCAGTAACCAGTTTAGAAAGACTCTTTGTACTCTCACACACTAAATGTTTGTACTATATTATCACCAATTCGCTATGATATGATTCCTCTACAATATAACGAGAATGGTGCACTTATACGTAGAGGTCACCGCATAGGTTGAGTTCTATCATTACGCATTTCTATTTTCAATCACATTTTTTATCGTCGTCACCACAGCGCTTCATCACACAAAACCAGATAGACTTGGTTAATGCTATACACATTTGGGTTGCTCTCTACACCTTAGTCTACCCCTGGTCACGAGGGGCGGCCAGAGAAGCATGTTTCAGGTCTCGTGTGTACACGTTTCATTACTGCAAAATCCTGCAATGCTGCTTTGCAAGACACCCACCTTAGTATTGCCTCACAATCCACTCAGGATTTAACGCACACTTGCACACTTGTTGTCCTGGTTGTTGTCTGCACTTCACTGATGCTGTTAATCCCGCTGGTGATCTCTGCAGGATAATGAACCTTTTCCTACAGGAAATTGGAAGGAGGTTATCCCAGCATCCCTGGATATGTAGACCAACGGGATATAAACTGGTGAGCTCAGATAGGGTAACTCTTGTCTCGACTACACACCCGAGTTGCCAAGTCTACCACAGGTGTCACCGTTTTGGCACTTATTTTCGCTCAAGTTCGTTTAACCGTCGTCCACCGTGAATACTTTACAGTGGGATCAAAAGTGTAATATAATTTGAACATCATATTTGAGATTAGTGATCCGTACAACTGAAAATAAGGAAATAAGTTTCATTTTCTTTTCAACAAGTTCCGGGCTCCTTTTACCACTAACAAGTACCATTGCGTCTCCTGAAAGTTTTTTAATTATTTCCATTTTTTTCCAATGCTAAAATATACTTGACTCTTTATATCATATAAAAGGAAGAACTTTATTGCAGGTGAATTACTGTGAGCTAGGTACGACGTGACGTCAGACAGTATTAATGCGTGTTAGTTAAGAGTCAAGGGAACCCTAGTAATATCCATTGAACCTGAGTCGAATAGTTCTGGAAAGATGTATCGTCTCCAGTTATTGACATTTGTGTTAATCATTACCTTTCTTTTTAACACAAAATTGAAATAACGTAGGGAGATAATACACCTATATAAGTGTAATGTTAAAGAAAGTAATGTACCGTAGAAAATGAGAGTTGTGGTGCCTTTCCAGTGTTGTCCCGCCCGCTACCTCCACACACTCAACTTTACCTCATTGTTCTCAGCCTCTCGACAGCTTCACCTCTGCTGTAGACGAAAAACCTGATAGTTCCGCAGCAGCATAATCTAAAATACCGATGAATAACATTTAATGGACAGAAAGTGGGAATAAAAGTCGTAAATTAAGGGAAAGTGAAGGAGTATGAATGTGTGGACACGCAGCAACCTGGCCAAGTCAACCTCCCTGCTGTTACGTTGCCACCGACTGAATTTATTATTCTCGTAAATTAAACAACCGCATTACCTCTGATGTTGCGTAGTACTATGCTTTATATATGATTACAATCAACAGTGGTTAAGTTTTGTAATTTTGTTGATAATACTTGGTTGGGTGTAGCATAAATATGAAAGAATATGATAAATGTGCATCTCGCTTCTCCACTTCTGCAAGACGCACTCACGCACGCACATTTTCTTGCTCTCCGCAGTCATTTGTTTCTTTGCATTAGTGAAATAAATGTATTGGCGTCTGGAGAAATCATACGTTAATTTATAAGAACGTAAGTGTAAGTTGATACAATTTACCACATCTACACAAACGATGTAGTGGATTGGTTACACCCGAGTCTACCGCTACACCAGGTTTAACACAGGCACGATGTTGTCTTGGAGTGTGTAGACAGTGTACGGGAGACAGTTAATATACTGTGGTGTGTCTACAATGAAGAATCAGTGTCACGCCAACTTTTAAAGTCATCTATAAAGTTTGCGTAACTGATTATTCGTGGCAAATTCATAACGTCTTATACAGTCTCCAATCACAATATCGTGTCACTTCCAATCAAAGTATCGTGTCATTTCCAATCACAGTATCGCGCTACTTCCAGTCACAGTATCGTGCCAACTATAAACCCCTTAATTGGGCTGTAAACTAACGTGAAATAAGGAATCCAATACTAATGAACCACCGCAACCTTTATATAATTACAGTGAGCAGTATCACCTTACACCTCCATTCATAAATATGACTACCAGTCTCACAAGCTGACATTTTTTCTATTAATGATATTGTAATATAACTGGGTCCGGATTATTAGATTAGTCAGAAGATGATGTTCCTGCCTAACTGGTGAAGTAAAAGTATATATATATATATATATATATATATATATATATATATATATATATATATATATATATATATATATATATATATATATATATATTATAATCTTAAGCCACAACACAAGGATATTCTCAGTGATTCTTAAGTTAATTTTCCCCCTCGACTGAATATACGAGAATGTATCTGATTCACATAAGCTATGATATAAAGCTGGATTCCTAAAGGTTCCTCTGTTTAATTTTCTACTTCTCTCCAGCATAGCCTTTAAATGGGGAAGACAGCGCCGTATCTGAAGTGTCAGTTGGATGAGGTTCACTCCAGTTACGGGGTTATTTAATTAGTTCATCATCGGGATGTCGTGTACGGTTACCGGCCTCTGAATCCGTTATAAAGTCTGGTCCGTTCGCTCTATTTTCTCTCTTGATTTTTATTTAATTTTTAATTTTGTGATGATGTGTTCGATGGTATATATGAACGTGATATCTGAAGTTAGATAACTGACAATTGGTGTATCCAGGTATTTAGATTATCTGTAGATTAAATACACCCCCCCAAAGTTATTACACCTGAAGATTAAACACCCTAACACTACGCGGTTAGGTTAGATTAGATTAGGCTATGTTTTGTTAGGTTAAGTTAGCATTAGAGTGCTTAATCACCAGGTAAAATAAGCCGGGTATCTAATCTCAGAAAGAACATTAATCATTGCAAACGGGTGAAGCTGAACCCGGATTCTCAAACGATCGTGCATTGTGTATCCATCGTAACCGGATACATAAGAACACAACAGACTGAATTCTCCTGAAGTAGAAAAATGGCGTCCATAATGGGGCTAATAGTTACCGTGAGATTTTACCATAAGAGATGCATGATTCAGTCACTAGACACCAGTTAGAGCACAAACTTAACATGCAGGATCTATGTGAATCCAGATCTTGGACACACAGTTCAGAACACACCAAGTAGGGGTACTGTAGTAGAATCACGAGAGACTGCTGTGCATAATGATGTAGGGTGTAACGAAAGCACCTGACCTTTGGTCAGGCGATGACATCATCACACCAAACATGGAGTAGGACTGTATTCAAGAGTCATTTCCCGAAACTCTGAGGGATCGTACGTTAAATTTTCCGCTAACTGGAGTAACTGATCCTGCGAGTTAAAAACTCAAACAAAACAAAACAAAGCAAAACAATGCCAGTTAACAATAGAACCCTCCTACGTTGCTTAATTAAGACGATGGCCAAAATGGAGTCAGAATTTCACCGAGACTCGACCAAGCGTAGATGCGTATCATCTGGCGGGTGTTAGAGGGTCTGGCTTTGTTCACAGCGGGAAGACACCGAATAATTAACATTTTAGTGAGTGAGATAAAGCACGTCTGAGAAGCCGCTATTAATTGTAAGCAAGTGAAATAAATAAAATCGCCAGTTTTATAAAAAAGAAAACTAAATAAAAGAAATAATGTTAATAATGAGAACCACTTTGTAGGCAGTTGTGATTTTTGTATTTTTAGATCTACTTGCGGTAAACAGTTAAAAGTATTCTTTATCACGGCTAAATTTCCCGCGTTCCTATGTTCTTTAACGTAAAGTTCTGTAAAAACTCTTCCCGCGTTCGTACGTAACAGGACCCATAAGGCATATTTCGAATTATAATTTCATTACTCATTTGCACATAAAGTATCGGCTTTGTATAAATATTTATGAAGTTGCCACACCTCACCGTTGCTTCGTTCCATGACTTATGACCTTCAGGACCAGATAAGGCAAGACTCGCCCCCGAATTTGTTAAAACATGTACATATTTCATCGTTAGTACGAGGTTGTCGCCATATTGGTCCAATAGGCCTCGTCAGCATTAAAAACTCGCCCTGGCGGTGATGCTAGGTGAGGCTGAAGTTACCATAATGATTGGTTAAGTTAGGTTAGGTGTGGAGTACAGCGCATTCTTTACGTCACGGGATCTCTTCGTCGTGTTTATTGTAAACTTTTGTTAATCTCAGGTTATATTATTATTATTATTGCTATTATATATATTTGCCTTACTTAGTATAAACTTGTGCGAGTCACAGTTATTACTATTGTTATTGTTTATTTGAATTTTAGTGTTACTTTAGTAAGGTCAGTACAAAGAGATCCCCTCCTGTAATCCTTCAGTAGTGTTTATTATAAAAATGCTTTAATCTACTGTATTCATCGTATAAATCTTGTAATTCTTCTGAATTTAATGTATAAATCATGTAATCCCATTGTACGCGTTAAACATTGATACTGTTATTCTACTTAGTGTTTAAAATATAAATATATTTTAATCCCACCGTAAATGATACAAAAACAATCCTGTTGTGTTTAATACAGCTCTATTTCCAGTGTGTTAAATATACAAACTTTATGAACCTGCGATAAGTTTTAATATTAAAATCCCATGATCCGTTTAAAAAAATATTCAGGTATTGTTTACGGAATTGACGCATTAATCTCCTAAAAAAGACAGTAGTCTTATCAATGAGTGAACTTCATGAATATAATATTTTAAATCATATTACCCTGCTACTAGTATTTCAGTTACAAATATTACAGTGTAGATGATAAATATTACTCGAGTCCATTGTGTGTATAATCAAAGCCTTTGGCTGTTAACATTCAGTAAAATCATCAAACAATTTCACATTGAATCAGAAATAAATATATTAAACCAAGGTCTTCAAAGAAAATGGCAGGTGTTTACACTTCTCGTGAAAAGCGTCTGGTGGATTTCTTGGTTATCCTTAGATGAATTGTCAAACTTTTTATCACTATATTCGCTGTACATTGGTGTATACCCTCACTATCTGTATATACCGCATACCTGCGCTATATGCATTCTGAAATGTATAAAGAACTTACATTGTCTATATATATATATATATATATATATATATATATATATATATATATATATATATATATATATATATATATATATATATATATATATGCTGAATGCTGACCCAAATATATATTAGCTTTAAGCCGGTCCGACTAATTACCCAAATGTAGCCGAAATGAAGTCAAATAATGGTCCTACATGAATAAATCGGGTTACCAATCACTTCTCGACTAGTAGGCTATTTGGTGTCACAAAGTCACAAAAAATTGGTAAACTTAATTTAATCTGAGTTGTGTTGTGTTAGGTTAGGTTAGGTACATGCACTTGATCTATTAACTCAGATTAAATTAAGTTTACCAATTTTTTGTGACTTTGTGACACCAAATACTAGTCGAGAAGTGATTGGTAACCCGATTTATTCTTGTAGGATCATTATTTGACTTCATTGCGGCTACATTTGGGTACATTTGGGTAATTAGTCGGACCCCCTTAAGCTATGATTCCATTCACGCGTTTCAGTGCGTTTGCGTTTTCAATTGCTACAGGGAGGAGCGATTGCCATGTACTGCAAACGCATAATGCTAACTCAACTTTGCCAATGGAGACAACCGTGTACATTTCAGTGTGATTAATTTTTGACGCTAACGCAACCGCTAACACGTGAATAGAATCCTAGCTTTAGGATTCCAGGAATACCAATTGTATGCAGCTCCTTGAGGTCCCCCAAGCATAGCCCTCTAGCGGCAGAGTTTGCACCTTAGCAGTGAGCTCAGGTAAATACTGGTCCAGGTGGCAACACGACGCACCGCGCGTTGCTTGTGTAAGTTTGTAATATAACTTATCCTGTAGTAAGTACAAATAATTTTATATGTCTCCCTGTCACTTGATACATCAGATTGTGTTACTGATGAGCAGATAAACAAATAATAAAGGTGTAAGCGTGGATAAAGTTATTAAATAATGGTAATATGAAACTGTAGGTGGTGGACTTGAGGAGTCAGGGGTGGGGTGGTTCAAACAGGACACCTACAAACACTCCTTGCAAATATTCACGTAGTAAAACTCATACTTCCTGAATAATACTTCTTATCAAGGTAATTAACGCATAAATTAGCTCTTGTTATATATTCCCGGAGTAGTAGATGAGGTTATTAGCTAGAAAGTGTTTGGGAACCCGTGAAATGGCCAAGGTAAGTGTGCCCTGTTGAGTCCCACCTCTGGCATGTGGGTGGGGTCCTACACGTCCGCTGTTCCTAACACGCCAACAAAGTCTCTTGTCTCCGGCATATACCGAGCAAAATGCGCCCGTGTCAGAAAACTTAGTTACATCTTCATAGCACAACGAAAACATTGAAGGAGAGGTAATGTATTTCAGCAGTCACGTAGACAGGAGTGCCTTGTGTGTTGATCATGATGAGTGACCGTCAGTGTGAGGCAGGAGGGTAATATGTTCCGATATTGAATAATCTTAACTATGACAATCGCCGAAAAATTAAAACTGGGGTGCTGGGTAAACTTCTTCATTGCATTTTCATATCTTAAATTTCAACTGGTTAGGAAAGAACCTTTAACTCAAGTCACCAAGGCCATATTCAGCAGTTTCATTAAGGTCCACTAAGTTGTATCAGGTAAGACTAATAAATGTTTTGCAGCAAAGAGTTATTATATATAATAATTAGTTTTTGAATACTGAAAATTACGTATATTTTGTCAAAAAAATGTTGGCCGTATAGTACTGTACATAGCTTTCATTACTCAACATGAAAATGAAAGAACGCTGAATATAGGTACGGCAGCTGTATTGGCGGACGGTTAAGTCAGATTAGGTTCCATTAGGTTTGGTTAAGTTAGGTTCGGCTAGTCAGAAAGAAGGCCATCTTGGTAACTATCATTAGAGATCCTCCCCGACTTACGACCACCCGGTCATACGACCGCCTCAGTTGTACCAAAATATTGTCAAATTACCTATTTTTGAGTCCCAACGTTTGTGATTGCTTTGTGCACTGACAAAATTTTCGTTTGTAAATCACTTTAAAATGGCTGGCAAGCTTAACAGTGAGAGTTTTGTGGTGCTGAGAAGAAAAAGAGACACCCATTTTAGATTTATGTATTATTTAAGCATTTTCGACTTACGACCTGGATTTGGGTCCCCAACCCCGTCGTAAGTCAGGGAGGAGCTGTATATAGTCTGCCCGCCATGCATGTGCATTAGGCTGCTGTACCTATAGACATCAGCATTTCGCATATGGCTGCCATACCTATATAGTGCGCCTAGAGAAAAAAATATTTAATGTAAAACAACAGTAAAACAACAGTTTGCCTGAAGACACTCATTAGTATGGCCGATATATCTCCTTGTGTATATCTATTTTGTGTGAATATGCTTGTGATTATATGGTAATGTCTTTTGTACTGTACTGTGCATGTGTAAAGAAAAACAGATTTATAAATGCTTCATTGATTTATGGAATATATATTTGGATGAAATTTACAGAGAATAAATAAAAAGTTGGCTGTACGATACTCACGAACCTCATAGCTGAAGAATTAATACACAGCGCTGAATACTGCATACCAGTAGTGTCACGACATTCCTTGCTTATCATTCATTAGTGTTATATAAATACACAAAGATATGGACACTGTCATAGAATTCTTGATTATCCTAAACAAGTGACATAAATTTTAAACAGATCATTTTCACACAGGTTTCAAGAAAGCATATGAAGGGAACCTGTATCACCTTTCACACACTTGTCTGGCTCACCTACCACCACTACTGCTGCTCTTACTAGGAGTGCGGTTGATTACGTCACTTCCTGCCAATAACGCCATCATCGGTTAGCAAGTTGCCCATAACACTACAAGAAAAAAGCGATCACAACTAGTACAACCATAGTACACAAGAAGCTCCTCCGCCACCACCACCATGAAGGAGTGCTGGTCGCCGTGGTACTACTATGACGACATCAAGACAGCAAGTAAGGCGTGTGCAGCCACTACCATCTTCTTCAGCACATTCTCCATCATCTACATCAGTCACTGTCTTAGTGGTGGTGACTCCTCCCAGTTCTTCCTCCCACTGTTTGAGACAGATGTTGACACAAGTAAGTACAAGATAAAGTTGAATAAGAATAAGTAGAATAAAGGAGAAAAATTTTTATTTTTTTATTTTTTTTGTTAACTAAACCAACCTAACATACTGTATTCAACTTAACCTAATGTTAAATATTCAGACACATGGAAGTGTGGAAAATGGCTGTCAAATGGCAAAGAGAACGATGATTCTGTACCTTTAATGCCCTGATGTGCTGGTTCACATCTCAGCCTGTCAGCATATGGCTAGTACTGTACCAGTATTTATGCATACTGACACTGTCCTTAATATTATGTCAATCTTTAATGTTTACATTTAGTAATTAATAGTATCCGAAGTTTAATTTTATAAATGAAGCAATACAAAACATGATTCCTATGCATGAAATAATCAGTACCCATCCCCTAAAACTCAGTACCGTATAGTACATATCCTTTCTCCAGACACAATTCACCTGCTCCCCAAAACATTCTATAGAATAATAACGCAGTCCTTAAAATGCTTCTTACCCTCCACAGCCATGAGGGGTGCGGGCGGGTTCATGATTGTGTTCTACCTGTTTTACATCGTAGTCTCAGGCCTCATGGTGAGGGGGCTTATCTTGGATCATCGGGGCTTCATCCTTCCCTGGCTCACTCAGAATCTCATCTACGTACTCATGATCATCGCTTTTGCCCTCTGGCTGCAGGCATCGTACTACCATTATGTGAGTTTAGGTTGTTTGTGAAATATGATAAGGCAACTAGTCTTAACTGTTTTGTGTATAATAAGACTATGAAACTAGTTTATTTACTATTATCCAATCTAAAAATTTTCCCTAATGTATCTCAACAGATATTAATACACCATATGTTCAAGAGGCATTTTTAAGTAGGCTTCATGAAGTGCAATTTATAATTTGATAATCATCCTAAAGGACCCATATTATTCAGTCAGCCATGTTTAGGGGGTTAGAACTCAAGGAACCCTGATAAAAGCAGCTGTGGTAACCTCATGGAGCTTCTCTAGATGGATAAACTCTGCACCCACAACTGTGTTTCTCATATTTTAGTCCTCTGGGTTTTCGAAGTGAAAATCTTTGAATATCTTTTTGCCAGTTTTGACAACTGTCTTGTTTTTAGGATGAAGGTGGCAGTATAGTAGGGAATTTTTTCCGTACCAACGTATTTTAAAAAAGACTAATAATTTTGGATGTGTACAGTTGCGTCAAAAGTTTGCCCCCTCCCAAAATGAAGCAGCATCGACCCCTAATGAGATGAAACAGGATAAGTCAGCTCAAAGACTCATTGCCGTGACTCAATTTCACCACTGGGAATGAACTTTTGTCCCAAACTGTACATGAGGTCATGGTGAACCTGCTTACATGTCATTTGTCAACTCAGGTCATCAAAGAGACCGCCAAGGTCTTGTTGAAGATGTGACTGAGGTCGTAGTCAACCTGCTCCCAGTCATAGGTTGAAAACTTTATACAATAATGCTATGGACATGACCAGCCATTGTCACGAGCAACATTGTGGGTGTACTGGTCGGTAGCAAATTGAAAACTGAAATGAATTGTTTGCATTTTGCACTCTTGACAACAATAACTGTCGCGACCCATTAGAACAGTGACCCATAGTTTGAGAACCACTAGTCTAGGTTCAAGGGTATGGCTATGGGTTCCCTAATAAACTGGGATATCAGAATCAATCCTGCATTTTTAATTAATATTTCCAGTCATATTAGTACATTTAAAAAAAATATTTTATATTTTATTTTTTATCACTTTTATATTCTGTACTGATTATGCATTTGTTTTTCAGCTGCTGTCTGTGTTATGGACGTTGCTCTATGTGCTCTTTGCTGCTGCTCATGTAAGTTAATTAACTATCCCACCAGTCTGTTACCTTCAGCACATGTCTGATGTAATAACTTCTATGATAGATGAACTGTAAGTACTAAAATCACTTACCTGCATCACCTGTGTCTGCCTCTAGAATACAGTATAGTACTATACTTCTCTACAGTACAGTGCAGTATACAGTAGCAGCAGATGGGAAATATCTGTACTGTTATTATTGAGTTGGTGCTAACACATTTCTTATAGACAGCACATGCCATTTCCCACTTTCCACGGGTTCTTCACCCATGCTATGAATAAATACTTTTGTTTCCCTCACTTTCATTCTTAAACCCTTGACTCCATTCCATCCTTCCATTGTGAATAAAATAGTTTTTGTTTAGGAAATTTGGAGTGTATATGATTTCTTCAGTTATAAAACACATTATTTGCTCTTATATTTCATGTAGATCCACAATGAAAACGTGGATAAGATAAATCTTGATAAAATCACATGGGAAAAGGGAAACAACGGAGCACCTAAGCATTCGTCTTTATTCAAGACCATGTAGCAAATGTAATTGTAATTATGTAGGACAGACAGGAAAACACTGCAGCTCAGAATCAAACAACATAAGTATAATATCAGAACAGCATCTGAAAGCAGTGCCTTGTTCGTTCATGTTAGGAATAATAATCATCCCATTGCTTGGGAAAAAAGCTTTGAAGTATTTAAATCATCTTGTGTCACAGAAAGACTTCTGGTTGAAGCTAGTTTGATTAAGAAATTAAAATCAATAAACCTTAGTGATGGTCAGTTCAAAACTGATAATTTGTTACATAAATTTATTTGTCAGTGGCCCAAGGTTAAAAATGCTTTGAAAACCTTTGATCTAGATGTATGATAGTTATTTAGTGGGTCCCTTATTTTTGACCTGACCTGACTAGTCACGTCACCCCCCTTCTCTTAAGCTCCTCTACGTGTGTGTTGGTGTGGGGATTAGTGGATGACATCATTATGACCTGACCTCATGTTTTTAAGATCACCCTGTATATTTAAGCCTCTCTCTGTTCATGTAATCCAGTTGCCTCTGAAGATGTCTTGAATAAATACGAAAGCTAAGGTGCTCCGTTGTTTCCCTTTTCCCGTGTGATTTTATCAAGATTACTCTTATATGTGTTGCTGTAGAATTTTGGGGCATGTGAAAGGTTATGGCTGTCCATCTCCTCAACTGTTTACACTTCTAACCCCCACCATAGAATTTTAGGGGCAGGAAATATAAGGTTATGGCTGTTTGTCTGTCTACATGTTTGTATTTATACCCCCCATCATAGGATGTCAGGGCAAATGAGGTTGCACCAGCCCATTCACCCAACTGTTTGTTGTTAATTTCATGATTCATATGCCATTGATGAAAATAATGAGCAATGCCTAACTTTTTAGAATTACATGTCTGTGTTGTGGAGTCATTTTGTCATTGATGAAAGTAATAAATGTTGCCTAAATTATTTTTAGAGACTCAGAATCACATAAGCAAGTAAATTGTCATTTTTGTGGGGTTATTTTGCCATTGTTGAAAATTATGAACATTGCCTAAAGCACAGCTTATGACAGGAAGCATTATCAATGATGAGGATACTGAGTGAGAAGTGAATTAATTGTGTTGACAGGTTTGATAACATATCACACTTTTAAAACAAGAAGTCCTTCATTACTGTTTGGTATTGTGGTATTTTATTGTTTAATTTACAATGTGATTTTAATTTTGTATTTTAGTGGAGTTTACTGACTTTGTAAACTATCTCATTAATTTTGTAGTTGTTTTTCATTTGTAGGAGAGAGAGAGGTACTGTATAGGTGTATGTCTAGACAGTACAGTATATGTATGTACAGAATTCTGTGTATACATGTATACACTGAATACTTAACCTTATGTACCCACATAGACATTTTCTCATATACTGTATTAATACAGCTCCTCCCCGATTTACGGCGGGGTTAGGGACCCAAATCCAGGTCGTAAGTCGAAATGGTCGTAAGTTGAAAATGCTTAAATAATACATAGAAAATCTAAAATGGGTTTCTCTTTTTCTTCTCAGCACCACAAAACTCTCACTTTTAAGCTTGCCAGCCATTTTAAAGTGAGTTACAAACAAAAATTTTGTCTGTGTACTGACGTTGGGACTCGAAAATACGTAATTTGACAAAATTTTGGTACGACTGAGGCGGGTCGTAAGTGCGGGTAGTCGTAAGTCGAGTAGGTTGTAAGTCGGGGAGGAGCTGTACACATAAAAAGACGCACACACACACATGCACGAGAATCTCTGATGTGTTTGTATTTATTTCTGTGTTTTTTTTAGATAGACAAGTAGATACAGTATACAGATAGATTGTGTCACTAAAAAACTACCGATAAACAGGCAGATCCAGGATTTTATAAGGGGGGGGGGGGAGTAGTGGGATTTTAAGTGAATGGAAATAAGGTCACAAGAAAAAAGTCAGTTTTGACTAAGAAAGCATTCACATTTTATTTAAATATCATTAACAAGTAAAGTATAAATCCAGAGCAGTTTAAGGTCATTGTTAATTGACAGTGATATCTCCGTTAGCCGGAATCCCTCAAACCCGGAACTCTCCGATAGCCGGAATTGAAATTTTCCCAATACCCAAAAAATTCCGGGGATGTGGGGAGTTTTTTCCTGGTTTGAGGTGGAAATTCTGAGAAAAATTTTCCGTTACGCAGAAAATTCCGGGGATGAGGTATATTTTTCCGGGGTCGAGAGATGATGTAATGGGCAATTTCTGGAACTTCCGAGAACATTTTTCCGTTACCCGGAAAATCCCAGGGATGAGGTATTTTTTCCAGCTTTGAAAGTCGTCTCGTTTCTCATGAAATCTCTCGTTCCCGGACGTGCTCTGCACCAATTGTTCTGGCTAACGGGGATATCACTGTACTGTACGTGAATTCCACAGATTGACAAAACAATACGTGATATTTCCATTAGCCCCAAAAATTTCCAGAATGACTCATTATGTCATCTCTCAAACGCGGAAGAATCCCCCATCTCTGGAATATTTTCAGGTTGCCGGAAAATTTGTCTCGGATTTTCTAGAAAATGCTCCTGATTTTCATCTACCAATAACGGGGGGGGGGAAAATCCCCCATCCCCGGAATTTTACGAATACCAGGAAATTTTTTTCTGAATTTTCCAGAAAGTGCACTCCTCAGAAAATCGTTCCCTAACTCGGAATGTTCTGGAAAATTAAGAGCAAATTTCATTCCGGCTATTGAAGGGATTCCAGCTACCGGAGATATTACTTTGTACTGTACTGCATCATCTCCAAGGTGATACCCTTCCTCTTCCTCCTCAGGGTGGCACTGTTTGTAGTGTCAGCTGTCTTCATTGGACTCTTCATCTTTGGGGTTGATCATAAACTTAAACAAAAAAATGAGTTACCAAAGGCAATGCATATTCCACGAGGACGAGAACATGATGATAAACAAACACTGCCAAGTTGTCTAGGCTTACTGACTAGCAAGTGCTGGGTCAGCCTGGCACAGACTTAACCTCAGAGTATAGAACACTCACCTGACTGGCTGCTGAGGCAATGACAAAGCATGACTTTCCCAGCTCTACAAATAATAATGTGAGCTGGATCAAATACAAGCTTGTTATGGGATTTGTCATGAAAGTGCAATTTTTTTTTTGTGTGTGGGGGGAGGGTATCAGTATAGGTCCTGGAGCACATCCCTATACAATACATGTAACAATTTAATGCATTTTTTTGTGGGAGGGGGCATAACTCCTTAGAGTGAGGGACACCTGTTAAAACCATTTATTGGTAAATTACTGTACTGTAGTCTTCAGGTACAGTACAGTACCTGCATTATATGTACAGGTATATTGTATATATTGTATTGTGTAAGAAATTTATCTCCCATATTACAGTACAGGTTGACAACCCTTTATCCGAAATTCCGAAAACCGAAAGTTTTTTTTGTGGGGCAATTTTTTTTTTTTTTTTTTTTTTTTAAACAGGGATTAGCCCACCTGGGCATAGATCACTGACCCACATCAGGGCCTGGGGGTGGGGGCGAAAATGTAATAGTAATAATAATAATAATAATAATAATAATTATTCATAGTAAATACAAATTTTAATAAAAATACACCAAAATAAAATATACATTAATAATAATAATAATAATAATAAAATATAATAATAAAATTAATAAAAATAATAATACAGGAGTACTGTAATAATAAAATAATAATAATAAAGAAATACAAGAATGAAAAAAAGATCAAAAGTGAGAAACACGACCTAGACCTATGAATTTTTATTATTATAATTAGTATTATAATTTTTATTATATTTTCGCCCCCCAGGCCCTGATGTGGGTCAATGATCTATGCCCGGGTGGGCCAAAAAAAAAAAAAAAACCTAATCATTCTGAAAACCGAAAAATTCCGAAATCCGAAGTGCCTCTGGTCCCAAGGATTTCGGATAAGGGATTGTCAACCTGTACTGTATATACAAGATACTGTACTCAAGTCTTTTATATAGGAAATTTATAACTTGCAATTTTTTGTCTCACCGTACTTATGTTTGTAGGTATACATGCAGAGGTGTGTCAAGAGCCAGTATGATAACATTAAGAAATCTCAAGCACCAAACATCGTCCAGCTATATTGAGCTGTTTCTCTTCAGCCGTCATCCTCACTCGGCTACATAACATCCGTCCTGGTAAAGTTCCCCTGTGAAACAGCTTCACAGCATCTACTTCCATATACAGTACCATGATAGTGAACTATCACAACAGTTGTCCTGAAATGCAAGTTTTTCCTTTTTCCCTATACAGTACTGTATAGTTAACATAGGGATATGGCTGTTTAACACCTGTCTGACACACAGACACATTCATACAATACATATTGCCTCAACACCTGAGAAACAGCTTTACATGTCCACCTTTCAGACTTGGATGTACTGTACCAGGTGTCCACTTATGACTTCCATACTGAAATCTTAGTGCGACATTTTTATCTACGTACCTTATAGGTAAGTTAAGGAAATTGTATTATTTACTTAATGCTGATTATGTTTTTAATATATTTATAGTACTGGATGTTGCTTATCAGATTATTACAATCAGAAATTTCATGTTTTCATCATAGACATCAAATATTTACTATTGGAATTGTAGAACTGAAAATTTTATATATTTTTATGTTGTTATTGACTTCATATTCTGAGTTATGACCACAAACTTGAAGAATCTCTTAGCTATTGGATGCTTTACACCCTGGTGATAGTAAAAATGAATGAATGCATGATTAAACTGCACCTAAATACTGTATAACTATGGTACTGCAGTACATGCAGAGAAAGAGATAGAGTATGAGATGGACATACAGAGTTGACATAGATATGGCAATGTCAACATCATAAGGCAAATTCTCAAATGATTCAATATTTAATGTAGATTGTTTACATTATACCAAAAGCTACTTTATCTTAAATTATTAACTTCAGTAATACATTTACATAAGCTTTTAAACTTGACTAGAAATGTAGTACGTACTATATTTACAAAATTGAAATATCTGAAATATTTGCTACTAAATATTAGTGATGGTAAGTTTGTCTGTCATTAATGTGGGTAAATACTATCCAGTGCTCAAACTAATTTATCTTCATTATATTTTGTCTTATCTATGTATTTAAACTTTATCCTTGAAGCTCGACCTTTGTAACTCCTGAAGGATCTTGTACAGCAATCTTCAGAACTTTGCCTTCAACTGTTTTCCTCTGAAGCTTTACCTTTTTGACAATTTCCAAACTTTTCACACTTGTACTTTACCTCTGTAGTGGTGTCTCTCTAAGACCGGTTTTAAAACTTATTTCACGCTTCCGTCTATTAATGGTGGCTGTTGTGTCCCACCACTCACCATTTTCAGTCAAATCCAATGTACAGTACAATACATACCTGTGTTTAGGTAATGGGCAACTCATCAGCTTATAATAGACAACTTTGAGTAATGTATATTATTAAACTATATAAAATGTTGTTAGATTGCCCTGGTTGTGCCAACATTGTAATTATTTTTACATTACACATGAAAATTTGCACTGTGTAATGTACAGCACTGCCAAGGCACAACATACTGTAATTGCAATTGATGATTGCATATTGTTATAATAATGCACCTTAACTATGTGATACTATTAGAGTCTAATTAATTTTTACTTCACATGGAATTACTTTGTTGTATTTTATACTTTTTCCATGGTACAATACTGTACACCTATGTAGGAATACTGTAGTCGGTTTTGCTATAAGCGGTAGTTGCGTTCTTGAAAAACACTGCATTTTAGAAAAATTACGTTGTAGTAACCATTGATTTAATGAGAATTAAGGGGTAGTAGATTCGAGAACACCAACATGACTGACATGGAACTCAGTTTCATTTTTATATTATTGTTAGTTTTTATGTGTTTTAGTTTAATAATATCATTCATAGTCTTAACCTGCTCGTGGTCTTTCGACACAAATTGCATCACTAAGTGCTCCGGTGCTGGTGCGACCCTTCCCGCTCAGCCATATCTCACATAAGCACAAACGAAGGAACGGTGGACCAGCCCTATCTACCACCTAAGTTCCTCCTACTAGCCTCATGGACTGGCAGATGCATCTCTAAGGGTGTAATTTGGGCCTGAATCGTTTAATAAAATGGATAAACCGTTCCTTTAAAGATGCAGAACAAATGAACACAAAGAAAAAATATGGGAGTGTGATTCTCTTAACTGCTTTTAATGATAAAACTTTTAAATCAAAACATTTTTAGTCATAAGAAGAGAAGATAGTTGTCTGAGGCGACTGGTGGAGGAGGAACTTGAATCAGTTTGACCACTTTATCAAAAAACATTTTCACACCCTTGCCATGATAAAGTTGAGATACTGTACAGTACTTGTATTAAAATAAAGCACAGTCTGCGATTACAGCATCTGATACATATGTAAGTTAAACAAAGACTGTAAGGGAGGTGCAGTGCCTTGTGTGATGCAACGCCAAGGCGACCGCATAATTGCTTATACCTACTTCACTGACATATTTCTGTTTACTTAAATGCATAATAGAAAATGTATTCCCTTAATACATTCATCACGTTACAACCAAGTTGCACTATAAAACGTGTTGTAGGAAAACTTACTGCATACACTACTGTAATAGATTCAGCTGGGCTATGAAAATTAAGCTTATACAAAATCTATTATGTACACGTAATATAAATACAGTAGTACAGTATTGGTGAATACTTGTCCTTTTGTGAAGTAGTGGTATACTTTATTTTGTTCTTATGGATTAGAACAAAGCATATTTTACTGGATATAATACTTCATACTGTATACATACAAATTGCATATATAAATTTACAGTATATTCAGGGTATATTTGTATACACTACATGCGGTCATATAACTTAATAAAGAAGACTGCACTGCACCTCCACTTCTATTTTGAGAGAAACTGAAGGCTTAAAAGGTTTATAGCATGATTGTACTGACAAATGCTATAAAAAAAAAAGGAACACACCAAAGTGATGATTTCCGGATTGTACTGTTTTGCATACTAAAAGATCTAGGTATGGCATTGTACAGGTAATGTAGTCCTTATTTATTGCAGTGGTTCTCTGACTGAAAACCCTCGTGATGTGTGCCTCAACTAATGTGTCATCTTGCATCTAAAAGGTTCTTCCTCACAGTTTGAACTTTTTCTTACAGTAATGTTGCAAAAAATTGAAACACGATTATCGGATATTTGATTGTAAAGATTAAATTGCAATAAATTGGCTCTGATATGCAAATTTGTGTAAATTGAGGACTACTGTACCTACAAATGTATACAGTTGGTCCTCATATTACGCGGTCCCGCATTCCGCGTTTCACTGTTAACGCGGTGCCTTGCCAGAACCTAACATTTTCACATTCCGCGGTCGTGAACCCCATTACGCGGAGAGCGGCTGGCAAGCCGCGCCATTTTTGGATCCAAACCTCCCGCCATCCGCCATGTTGTGTAAGAGGCGCGAAAATGGTGCGCACAAGGTCGCCCAGTCATCAAAACATGACCAGTTCTTCACCCGCCACCCACTACAGCCGGCCCAAGTCAGTGATAGTGATAATTATAGTGAGGATATGGACTTATATGAACTTTGGGGGGTTTGACAAAGAGGCCCTGCAAGCCTCTGTGGTGGATAGTGATACAATTGATACAAGTGATACAGGTGAGGGCCAATAATCTGCCCTCTGCCTCGGAACCAACCGCCCATCCCCGTGTGCCCAGCCATCTTTTCTACTAATGTAAGTGTTAAAAAACCTAATATTATTGATATTTCTCTTAATTATTAATTGTGTGTGCATGCCATCATAAAGTTAAGATAATATTTTTACTACAACATAGTTGTGTGTCGTCAAAAAGTGGAGTTTGGGGATCGGCCCGGACTCCATTTCAATTAATCCCATATGTTGTTATTCACTTTACGCGTTTCTCACTTTCCGCAGTACCCTCCGGGTTACATTAACCGCGTAATATGAGGACCAACTGTAGTGTCAGTACTGTAGACATAGAAAAGATATTGTTAATGCTGTTAGAGAATATTCCTGGTAGGCATTGCATGTATTTAGGGTTGTATAAACTACAAACTTACAAGAAAATATTATATTGATAGCAAATATTGTATTAATAGAAGAGTTAGACAGTGCACTGTTCTTAAGATTTTGAAAAAGACAAGTACATTGAGAAGGTATTATAATTGTGATGGTAACATCAATAACTGGATAGATAGATGATGATGGTAAACATTTTGTGCTGTACAGTACTTACATGTGTGTAGTACAGTATCAGTGGATATAAAAATGGATCAGGGTATATATTTTTGTGTGGACATTTGTATATTTTTATACATAGGATCTTGACAGTATACAGTACTGACTAAGTATTTAACCAGGCTAAAATTTTACTTTACACTTTAAAAAACAGTTAACTTTACTTGTGAATGTTAAGTTATATTAAGAATGCTTTTGTAAAATTATTTGGTAAGGTAGCTAGTAAGAATGATTGGTATTGAATGAGTGTTGCTCTCGATTCTGTCCAACTTACCCCTTAGTGGGAAAAAGATTGCAAATGGGGAAATAAGGTTTCTGCATACTCCTTTGTCTTGAGAATCATTGTTATGCTTACAGTTTTGTCATGAATTTACTGTTATTACATATCCCATTTGTTAACCTGGTGATTTAGGGGTCTGTTTATATTTGTATAAGTGAATAACACTTCTACTAATTGTGATTAACTTTCCGTCCAAAGAAATTCATATTGAATCTCATTTTGTATACTGTACAAAAAAAATGTCCATCAAAGTGTTTTTTCATTTGCTAATCCTCTAATATTTCTGTACTTACTGGTGTGTAATACTGAATCTCATTAATGACCCTAACATAGTGTGGGATGCACACAATTAGGTCCACGCACACTTAGGTCCAGAGCTTTTATGAACCTTTGGCTTTGACATCTTGTTTCCAATACAGTACACACTTCTGAAAAATTGTGTGTTAGCACTGAATTGAATTCAATTGAAACAGTTTATTTAGCCAGAAAAACACAGATACAGAGTGGATAATAATAACAATATTAGCATGGCTGAGCCAGTTGAGAACCTGAGCTCTCTTTGAGGCACCTGATATATACTGTACATTTATCTCGAGGAAGTATCATCTGGAATAGTACAATAGCATGGTAGTAATAAGTACATCTCATAGTGTTACCATGGTTATCACTTCAATATTTATTTATTTTATGAGTTATTTTTTTTATTTTTTTTTATTTATTTATTTATACATACATATACATATATACACATATATATATATATATATATATATATATAGTATACATACATACACTGTGTAAAACTCTTTCCTCAAATGCAAGTGGGTTGTTCACATCCTCTCTTGTGAACACACAAAAAAAGATATTCATTGTCTTCACCTTGTCCTGATCAGTCTGGTATGCCCACACATGTCTTTAATTTTCATTTTGCATCATAGTAGAAAGCATTAGGGTTTGACTTTGCCTTGTTTACAATCTGCCGCGGGAACTTTTTTCAGCCCTTCTACACTTTGATTTTGCTTGGTTCTGGACCAAGTATACATCCTTCTGTTATACTCATCAATTGTCATAACCCAGCTCTTGAAATTCTGAGATATTTTCTTAACGTTGTCACTGCTGCATGGTCCATGTGTAATGGTAGTAGGTATTAGGCAGCTACCAAACAGGGAGGTACTACCGCCTGGGAAGATATTGGAAGCATAATGTGTTGTCTGTGGTAGATCTTGCTGCCACATGGCATCACGAAAATTGTGACCAAGTCCCAGGTTGCTGATCTGACTTTCTGCTTCATTTACACACAATTGCAGTGTCTCAATTAATTGTTTCTCTTACTATTGACAACACAACATATATACAAGTATATTGTTCCTCACTTTTGTTTTGTTTTCATTTTGTATTTCTTTGTGGTTCTTTATTATTATTGTTATTATTATTAATAATTATTATTATTATTAATTATTATTATTATTATTATTATTATTATTATTATTATTATTATTATTATTATTATTATTACATTTTCGCCCCCCAGGCCCCGATGTAGGTCAGTGACCTGTGCCTGGGTGGGCTAATTCCCGAAAAAAACAAAAAAAAAAGTCCTGGAGCCAGTGCTTTTGTTGTCTAGATTTTACTGTATATTTATCAATCATATACTGTACTGTAGTACACTATACATCTGATATTCAGTGTAGTACAGTATCTTAATTCTTACTTCTCGACAAGTCAGGCCAGTAAATATCCCTCATTATTTCCCTTTATCCTCTTCACCACTGATTGGTTTTATAGCCAGTGTTGGTCAGGTCTGGTCTTGAATGCTCTCATACTTGGTACCTTCACAACACACTGACAGAATATTCCAAGAGCTCATAACACTCACTCTGAAAAAGTTTGCCTTGACAATTTTATGAGCTTGTGGCTTCATCAACATTAAGCTGTGACCCCTAGCAAGGACTGATGTATGGATGCATGGACACTTTCAGCAGATATCAGAAAGAGGTTGGAGGCCTTTTAAATGTGGTGTTATAGGCAAATGCTAAAAATAAGCTACACTGACAGGAACACAAAGGAAGAACTAATACTAGCAAACACTTCAAGAGAAATACAAGTACAGTGACCCCTCGTTTAACGAACACCTCGGTTAACGTAATTTCGATTAACGAACTGCCTTCCATAAGGATCTTCAATTCGGTTAACGAAAAAAAATTCGGTTAACGAAGTTCTTACGAACCGACCTCAACATGTTTTCGCTTGCACTGATCGGGCAACCAGCTTTAGTATCAGTCCGCCAATACATTAATCGGTTCTAGGGCTTAAATTCCTTACTATTTTAGTAAATATCAAGAAGTTTATACTATTCAATAATTTTAAAAGTTTAATATTCAATTTTTTAGTCATTTTAACAATTATTGAACATAATTGAAGGTAAAGTGACTAGTTTAATGCGCGGCATCCAGCCTCTTAACACAGCAATCAGGAGTTAGTCTCTCTGTTTTCACTGGAGTTAACATCTTGCTTGAGACTCTCTTCAACTCAACGCTTTTTTTCTGTGTTTCCAGGCAAATTATTGGTCATTTTGAAATATATTTTACATATTGACAATATATAATGCAGTGCAGTGTCGATATAAAGAAAATAATCTTGAATTACACCAAGAGAGCTAAAATTATATGGGTGAAATGGCGCCATGGGGTGACTTCTCTTCCACCCCAATACCTTCTCTTCTTCCTTCTCCTCCACCCCCATTCTAAATCCCATCATCATCATCATCATCATCCAGGAGCCTTCTACATACACACCTCAAAGTAAGTGAACTTTTCTACCATTTTTGTTGAATTTAGAAAATTTTCGGTGAGCTGGAACCAATTACCCAAAAACCCATTGAAACAATGGTTTCGGTTAACGAACTTTTCGGTTAACGAACGACCTTCTGGAACGGATTGAGTTCGTTAACGGAGGGGTCACTGGTACTTGAAATGTACAGAAAAATTAAAATTATATACTGTCCTTTGGTCACTTAATTAGGGATGATAACAGATAGTATAGTAGAGAACAAAGATGACAGTAGAAAGGTCAGAGGAAGGCAGAGACTGGGATGGATGGATGAAAGTAAAAACTGGGTCTCCAGAGATATACAAAACCTAAGAGAATTGGTAAAAACAGCCTGAGAACATTAGATTGGTGGCCTGCACTTCGGCACCTCAGCTACCCTGAGAGGTTGGAGGGCCTAAACTTGCCAAGCTTATACTACAGACGGGCAAGGGGGGGGACCTAATTGAGGTGTATAAGCATCTCCAGGGGCACTACTCTGTCGAGTGTCCTTACTTGGAGCTGGCGGACGCTTGCCCGACAAGGGGTCACAGCTCAAGATTGAAGAAGCCGCAAGTCCAGAAAACTGTGAGGGCAAATTTTTTCAGAGTGAGAGTTGTGAACTCTTGGAACAATCTACCAGAA